TTTTTTTTTTTTTTTTTTTTAGTAGAGAGGGGGTTTCACCCATCTTGGCCAGGCTGGTCTTGAGCTCCTGACCTCATGATCTACCCACCTTCACCTCCCAAAGTGCTAGGATTACAGGCGTGAACCACCGTGCCCAGCCTCGCTGCAGCTTTCACAGCTGCTGGGATTTTGCTTAAATGATAGCCATTCCCTCTTCCCAGTTTCCAAGGAACCAAACGCACCAGCCCTCAAAGCCCAGCTCAGCTGCAGCTGTAGCCTGGAAGTCTTCCTCTCTGCAGAGTGCCGGGCTCCCCCAGCACCGAATCTGTGCCTCACTCATTCACGCAGCCTATTCACCTGCCTCAGTGATGGGCATGTCCTCTCTCCCTCTGGCCACCAGCCCAGTAGCAACAGGACTCTCCTGACCCATCTGTGTCCAGCTGAGTGAACGGACTCACCAAAGAAACCCCGGCGGCCAGAGCCTCTACCTTGCCCCTCTTCCAGGGCTTGCCAGGGACTAGATTCACCTGCCAGTTTCCTACTAGCGCACCGGTCAGGCTAAGTGAACTGCCGTGATCACTTTTTTCTCAGTCTAGAGGCAAAGGCCGGTGTGGAGAAGAGCGAGAGAAGCAAAGCAGGGCAGATGGGACTGCAGTCGCCTTCACAGCAATACTGACAGCAGCGCTGTGCCCGCCCACTCCTGCCCTTCCTGGACCTTCCCATGGGGACCTGGGGCTTCTCCTCAGTTCAGAGCCAGCCAGAAGATGTGCTGGCTGGATTAGAGGGCAGAGATGATCTCGGACACCCCCCACCCCCAACCCCACCTCCTTCCGGGGCTAGTGGGGAACTCCAGGCACATCCCCATGCACCTGATCTAAGACAGGTGGGAGGCAGAAGGCTGGGCCAGCTGTTGGTCTCCCCTCGAGCTCGGAAGGCCCGGGCTGGGGTCCTGGGAATCCCTGCAGGCTTTCAGGACAGGGATTCCACCTGGGTGAGAATCCCCTGGACAGTGTCCTGCCCTAAAACAGCCTGAGGCAGGCAGCTGGAGTGCAGCCCAAGGCCTGCACTTGGAAAAGGTTCCTCGTGTAATTCCAACATGCACACTACTGAAAGCCAGCGTTGCAGGGCTGGATATGGAAGTGGGTGAGCCTCCACATACCCCAGCCTCTGCTTGGGACAGCCCCTGTCTGCAGAAGCAGCCCCTTGGCAAAGGGGAGTGGACCTGCACACTGGAGGGGAGTGCAGGAATCAGCCACAGGAAAGGTGAACAGTCTGGAAGCCATGGTGACCTGAAGGCAGTGCCCTACAGGGGGAGGGCGGCTGAGCCCAGCTTAGGAAGGGCCTGGCCCCACATCCCGGTGGTGAGGCGGTGACATGGCCACAAGCTGTGAGGTCTGGAGCTAGTTGTGTACCCTTCACTGGACCTGGTTTTCCTCACATAAAAATGAGCTTCCAAATACTACTGTGTTCTTGTAGAGGTAATCATGGGGCATAATGTGTATGAAAGGAAGTGGCGGGTGTAGACAGGTGAAAAAGTCACTGTGAAACAAGTGGGCTTCAATCAATGGGACAGTCAGCCAGGCCTGCTCAGGAAGGCAGGGGCCACACTGGCAGTGCCACCTGGGGGCTTTGCCCAGACCCAGCAATGCCCAGATCAGAATCCCTGGAGGTGAGACACAGGCACCAGCATGTAAAGCGCCAGGTTCTTGACCTGATATAAGCCAAGTGGGTGACGGGTGACCCCTTGAGTTATATAGTCCAGACAAGCAGTTTGCAATTTTGTATGAGAATCATTTGGAAAACTGCATAAAAACACCATTCTTTGTTGGTCCAGACATGGGATTCGGGCTCATCAGAAAGGAAGAACTTTCTAACAGAGTCACCCAAAAATGGCATGCAGTGAGCTCAGCCGCACTGGAGGGAATCAAGCAGAGACCACTCAGTCAGGTGATCAAGTGATACCAACGTTCGTGGCCACTGAAACTGCAGAGGTGGCGGCTGAGCCCAGGGGTCCCTTCCAGCCCTGAGGCTCCCTGAATGCTACTGGCGACAGAAAAGCCCAGCTTTGGGGAAAGGGGGTGGGGCCGGCCACCTACCTGCCTCTATCCTCCCCACGTGGGCGTGGCTGCTGCGGTTGCCGTCGGTCTGCAGCTCCTCATCGGGCTCCTCCCACTGGGGCAGCTCGCGGCCCAGCGCCTCCAGCTCCGCGTGGAAGCTGTGGTTGGAGCAGCTTTGGAGGAAGCCAAACACCAGCAGGTTCGTGATGCGCTCATCCTGGAGGCCGGAACCATTGCTGACCTGAGGGGAAAGGGGAGTCAGGAAGACCTGGGGACCCCGGCCAGGCCGTGCAGCTGGCCCCAAAGAGCCTCCCAGGCCCCAGAGAGCTGAGCGGCCCCGTGGGCTGGAGGGCCCTGCAGGAGGTCCCAGCAGGCAGAGGCCAGGTCACCTGTGGGTGGCAGGGCGCGGCCGACTCTGCACAAAGGGATTCCTCTGCAGGGGAATCTGCTGGCTCTCCTGCAACACGCAGCTGGGGCGCCTCCCGCTGGGTGAGAAGGCCACGCGAGTATCACGTGGACGCCACCCGCCATCCTGTGCTTCAGCAACCTGAGCCCACCTTTCCTGGCTGCGTTTCCAGCAGGCGGAGCCCCGGTCTTCCCCTCATCTGCTTCAAGGGCTCAGGAAGGACTGAGCAGAGAAGAGGCTTCCATGACTACTGGGGAGTGGCGACCACATCTGGCACGTGCCTTTGGCCAAGCGTGGTTCATCTGGGGGGGGGTCGTGTCCTTAACCCAAACTCCACAGGGAGCAGAGCTGCAGCGCCGCGGGAGACGGCAGGGGTTGGGGTGCGGACTGCGTTTGGGGCTGGATTCTGAGCGCTTGCAGCGTCTGCAGCTGGGTGTGCCAGAGCAGAGGCCTAGGGCGGGAGAGAGGGCAAACACCGCGAAGGGACGCTGGGATCTGCCCAGGTTCTCACGGAACAGACCTCCTGGGCGGCCAGAGAAGGGCCGGAGGGAGGGCGGGCAGGCGGGAGGGCGGGAGGGAGTGCAGGCTGAAATTCCTTTCTATCCTCTAAGTTCATAATATTTTTCTTTTATTTTTTTGAGACGGAGTTTCGCTCTTGTTGCCCAGGCTGGAGTGCAATGGCGCGATCTCGGCTCACCGCAACCTCCGCCTCCTGGGTTCAGGCAATTCTCCTGCCTCAGCCTCCTGAGTAGCTGGGATTACAGGCACGCGCCACCATGCCC